CTAGATGCAACGATGGGTCTCTCCTCATCCAGAGCAAAGAAGAATGAAGAAAACCAAAGATTCATGGAAAGAATTAGTCCTAGCGACTGGTACACCATGGGATCTGCAACCTGTACGACTTTGAGACCAGAACTAGATGGTACCGGGCTACCACTGTCAACCCCTTGTATGGGGATCTCTGTAGGAGATCCTGGATAGAGAGGGAGAACAATGTGGAACAAAACTCAAAATCATTTGGGGAAAAAAAAAGGGGGACCAAGTTTGTTGGTCTAATAGAGCTGACACAGTGGACCGGGCAGTATTTTGTTCTGTTGTATACAGGGTTGCCGTGAGTCAGCATTGACTCAACGGCACATAACAGCAACTAACCACTTTCCTAAGCGTGATGTCTTTCTCCAGGGACTGGTCCCTCCTGATAACAGACGAAGTCTCAGCATCCTCACTTCTCAGACGCATTCTGGCTTCTTCCAAGGCACATTTGCTTGTTCTCCACAGGTGTAGGCATTTACAACACACATTTTGGGGGGTGCAGTTCAGCCCATAACAGTGGGAGATGCAGGCAGAGCCCTTGATTCTTTGAGCTTCCTTCTCACCCTCACAGCCTGGAAACCGCTAGGCCAGCCTTCCCTTCATCCAGCTGCCAAGTGGCTATTGTTGGCTCACGCCAGGCCAGAGCCCTGATGGGTTCCCACTGTCACTTCATTCGCCCCACAACCCACTGCCCCTCTCGGCCTCTGAATAAATTGGGATTCCTTTGGTTGCAAGTGAAGGAAAAACCCAAGTCACACTACCTTAAACAGAAAAGGGGGCTTTATTCATTTGTGTAGCCACTGGGATGGTGGGGGGCTCCAGCTTAGGAATGATTTGGGAATTTCTCTGTCTGTGGTGGGTGGGCTAGTTTCCAGGCCACATGTGACTAGAGAGGATGCTGTAACTCCTCTCCCTCAGCTCCAATGAGAAAAGTCCCAGGGAAGGACTCTGATTGGTCCATCTCAGGTCACATGTTCACCTTGTAGTCAGTTGCCGTGACTAGCCGCTAAGGAACCATGAGTGATCCAGCCTAGATCATGCGTTTGCTCCTGCATGTCCAGGAGTGGGGAGCAGGAGTGCTGGGCAGACAGACAGACAGACCATGGCTCCTCTTCCACGCCGTGTGTGATGGGCTAGTCCCTCCCAGCCTTGACATCTGTGGTTTTAATTATCACAGGGTTGTGACCCTGAGCCCCCTCAGCTCCCCCCAGGGTCTCAGATATACCCTGTTGTCATTTCAGATGAAGAGCATGGACGTGGGGGATCCCCGAACCTTCCCCTTCATCGAGCCCCCACCCGCAGCCAGCCTGGAAACGGCCATCCTCTACCTCCGGGACCAGGGGGCCCTGGACAGCACGGAGTCCCTCACCCCCATCGGGTCCCTGCTGGCCCAGCTGCCTGTGGACGTGGTGATTGGTGAGGAGCCCCTCGGGGCGTCATGTCGGCCCCTGGGATTGGGTGCGGGATGCACTTACTTCTCTGGGCCCTGTCCATTCGTTCACATATAATTTGTGAGCACCGTTCCAGGTGCTGGGAGTGCAGCAACTAAAACAGACACAAGTCCCTGCCGTCAGGGGAGCGGCATCCTAGTGGGACCAAAACCCAATCCACTGCCGTCGAGTCAGCTCGGACCCATGGCAGCCTCACACGTGTCGGAGTAGACGTGCTCTGTAGGGTTTTCAGTGGTGGGTTATTTAAAGTAGATTGCCAGGCCTTTCTTCCAAGGTGTCTCTGGGTGGACTAGAACTGCCAACCTTTCACTGAGAAGCTGGGCACGTTAGTTGTTTGCACTACCCCAGGACTCCTCTAGTGGGGAAGACCAGTGATAAGTAAGAAGACAAACAAGCAGCCTAGTGGCACTGCAGTTAAAACACTCAGCTGCTAACCGAAAGGTTGATGGTTTGCACCCACCAGCCGCTCTGCAGAAAAAGATAAGGCTTCCGTGTAGATTGACAGCACTGGAGACCCTGTGGTGCAGTTCCACCCTGCCCTCTAGGGGCGCTGTGAGTCGGAATTTATTCCACAGTAGTGGGTGTGGTTTGGGCTTTGCTTCTGTAAAGACTGACAGCCTTGGAGACCCTATGGGGCAGTTCCACTCTGTCCTCTAGGGGCGCTGTGGGTCAGAATGGACTCCACAGCAGTGGGTGTGGTTTGGGCTTTGCTTCTGTGAAGATTGACAGCCTTGGAGACCCTGTGGTGCAGTTCCACCCTGTCCTCTAGGGACGCTGTGAGTCGGAATTTATTCCACAGCAGTGGGTTTGGTTTGGGCTTTGCTTCTGTGCAGATTGACAGCCTTGGAAACCCTGTGGGTGCAGTTCCACTCTGTCCTCTAGGGGCGCTGTGAGCTGGCATGGACTCATAGGTAATGGGTCGGTGGTGATAAGTGCCACAGAAGAAAATAAAGCAGGTGAGGGAAATCAGAAGTACTGGGTGGGGGGGCATTTGTAGTAGGGGCACTGGGTTCGAACTGCCAGACCTCTGGTTAGCAGCCAAGTGCTTTAAGCACTGTGCCACCAGAGCCGTGCCCACACCACTGTTCTGTTGGTGCTGGCTGCCCTTCCCTGGCCCTGGCCCACGTGTTGCACAGCAGCTCTGCTCCACGGGCTGGGGTCGGCTTTGCTCCGCACGGGAGCACGTCACAGGACCTTGCTTCTGCAGAGCCACTGGGTGGGCTCACAGCCCTCCTACAGGTGCGCAAACTACTTACACCCCCGGGTCCTGCTCCCACAGTGAAACCTGTGACGGCCGGAACCTGTGTCGGGTGGAATCCGGTCAGGAAAGGAAAGCTCACGGGGTGCTTGGGAGGTGGGATTCCTTGTAGAGAGCGACTGCAAAGTGGTCAGCGCCCGGCAAAGGCAGAAAACTTGTGAAACCGGAAGAACAAGGCAGTCTGGTCGTGCTCCCGCTCTCAGGTTTCACTGTACGGAGTAACATTAAGACAGTCTCCCCGACTTGGATTCCTCAGGACCCCCAAACTCAGGAGCCGGGGTCTTCTGCAGTTCAGCCTTCCCCACACGCCCTCTGCCTGGCCCGCCCAGCCCTCCCCGGTGCTGCTTTTGCAGGGTGACGATGTCACTACGTGTCACACCGCCCTGCCGTGGCCCTTGCTGACTCAGGCTTGCTCCGCCTCGAGCCAGTCCCCTTCCATCGGTGATCCACAGCCCCCAGAACACCCCCCAGTGGCGTGGTTGCCCTAGCACTGCTCCCGGGCATGGGGCTCACTTGAACCCTCTGCCTGTGTGGATACTGAGAAGGGCCCCCAGCACTGCAGCACACCACGGCCTCCGTGAGGGCAGCTGGAGACTGCGACTCAGAGGCTTGCTAGAGCGATATGATGCTTTCCTACTGGGTTGGTCTGGAAGTCCCTGGGTGGCACCACAGTTAAGTGTTTGACTACCAGCCGAAGGGTTGGCCGTTTGAACCCACCCAGAGGGCCTCAGAAGAAAGGCCTGGCAGTCGGCTCCCGAAAGGTCACAGCCCTGACAACCCTCTGGAGCGGTTCTCTGCACGATGGGGTGCCATGAGTCAAACGACTTGACAGCAACTGACGGAAAGCAGGAAGCAGGCAGAGCTCACAGAATCGAGTCTGAGGAGGCGGCCTTCACTGAGCTAGTGCCACGTGCTCTAGGTCCTGCCCCTCACCTGGTGACGGCTGGGACTCCAGTCACCCCCACTGTGCAGACCAGGAAACCCAGGCTCAGCCGGGGGAGGTGACATAAGTGCAAGAGGCCAGAGCAAGCCAGCAGTGGAGCCTGGCTCTG